TGTTTTTGTGATCATCTGCTGAGAATGTTGATCTTGCTCTTTTTGTGGTGACAGAACTTGAAAAATATGAAAAAATAGGCTTCTCCATGTTGTCACTACCATGTGCTCTATTCGCGCGCGGTTATCAGCCATCGCGTCAAAATGACGGGTGGATGACGCGATTTTTGGTGTTTCCAATTGGCTTAAATTTATTGTTCAGAGACGCAGAGAAAAAAAAGTTGTCAATTTCTCAGTGGCCTTGTGAGAGTGGAATGCGTGTTAGCCACGTACACGTGTTACTGAATTTGTACATTCGGCGTGTTTGTTAATCGGTGTTGGAATGGCCCGTTTAGTTCGGCATCAGCGAATGACCGCTATCAGGGGGTTAGTGAAAGTAAATTAAATTGTCGTATTTTTGCGTACATAGTACGCACTGTGTTTATTTTTTTGTGTATAATGTGATATTGATGCGTAATATACGCAACTTTTTGCGTAAACGCGACCACTGTAAATATAATATTGCATTGTTTCAGGAATTTTATACTCACTTTTGCCATGCAAGGAAAAGATATTGCATCATAGTTTGTATTAATTTGTTTGTTATTTATTGTTGTCAGATTCTCAATGGACAAGGTTGTAATAGTTATGCTATGTTTTTTCTTTGTAAGAAATACTAATTTTCTCCAGTGATGAGCTGATTGCTTACTGAATATTACCATATAACTGTACATTTCAAGTTGATAGCCTAGCTCAAGGCATTTTGAGCAAAATCAAATTCCTTTTAAAATAAAAAACTATTATCACATTGGTAACTCACTAAATTGTAAATTTTCTGAAATTTTTTTCACAATATTAGGATTCATATCAATAATATGACTTTTTTAGCACTGATGTCAACTTTGTCGAACAGAGCTTATCATATAAGTGAATGTCCGTGGTCGGTGTCAACTATTTACTTTTTGGGCTTTTTCTTGAAAACTACATGTACAAGACATATATACAAGTGTAGTCCTCTTGGATTTGTTCATTTCATGATATCTTTAATTTGGGTGCATATTTTTGTAATTTTTGGTAAAAAGTGATATTTTCGACTTCTTGTTAAAAACTACATTTTGTGTACAAGTCTGATTGCTTTGATATTACATAGATTTTAGATAGCAAGTTACTAGTAATCTCCATTTTCACTGTACATTCTAACCATGTTTAATATTTTGTTAAACTAAAATATTGTAAATACAGGACTGGTAATTCAGTTATATACATGTACATATGCAGCACACAGATTGGCTGAATGATAGTTAGTGTTGCATATCAATTATTTAACATTGTAGAGCACCTAATCCCATGCTCACAGCAGTGGTAATTGTTTTACACCAATTAAAATTCATCACAACTAATGCACTGTGTTGTGATGAATTCAGGCTCTGTGTTGTGATGAATTCAGGCTCTGTGTTGTGATGAATTCTGGCTCTATGGTGTGACGAATTCAGGCTCTGTGTTGTGACAAATTCAGGCTCTATGGTGTGACGAATTCAGGCTCTGTGTTGTGATGAATTCTGGCTCTATGGTGTGACGAATTCAGGCTCTGTGTTGTGATGAATTCTGGCTCTATGGTGTGACGAATTCTGGCTCTATGGTGTGACGAATTCAGGCTCTGTGTTGTGACGAATTCGGCTCTATGGTGTGACGAATTCAGGCTCTTTGTTGTGATGAATTCTGGCTCTATGGTGTGACGAATTCAGGCTCTATGGTGTGACGAATTCAGGCTCTGTGTTGTGACGAATTCTGGCTCTATGGTGTGATGAATTCAGGCTCTGTGTTGTGACGAATTGGGGCTCTGTGTTATGATGAATTCAGGCACTGTGTTGTGATGAATTCTGGCTCTATGGTGTGACGAATTCAGGCTCTGTGTTGTGATGAATTCTGGCTCTATGGTGTGACGAATTCAGGCTCTGTGTTGTGATGAATTCTGGCTCTATGGTGTGACGAATTGAGGCTCTGTGTTATGAATTCTGGCTCTATGGTGTGACGAATTCAGGCTCTGTATTGTTATGAATTCTGGCTCTATGGTGTGACGAATTGAGGCTCTGTGTTGTGATGAATTCTGGCTCTATGGTGTGACGAATTGAGGCTCTGTGTTGTGATGAATTCTGGCTCTATGGTGTGACAAATTGAGGCTCTGTGTTGTTGGGAATTCTGGCTCTATGGTGTGACGAATTCAGGCTCTGTGTTGTGACAAATTCAAGCTGTAGTTTCTCTTTTAGATAGATGTATCAGGTGTATACCAACGCATAAGGTGCTTTCTTATATCTTGAATACTGAACTCAATAAACAAAAATTAGTGTTTTTAAAGTTGTGCCAGTTGCTCCAAGTAACATGAATTGTAGCCCTAGCTTAGGTGTTGAGATGTTCTAAAGAAGATGTATCAATTAAACTTTGATGGGTCATTTGATCATGAACCTCATCTTCACCACTCACGGCTCATTTATTCTGTTGGACTCATTTCCACAAAGCCGTTTGACTGCCGAAATCAATCAGATAACAGATGGATTAATTTAATCTTCCTAATGACACCTTGACCTTAACGAGGTTCATAGTACATTAGACACTGGTTGGTCAGGTAGTTTGTCAATGTCAGAGGTATTAAATCAATTTTCAAAGCTATATAGAATGGGATTTGCAATAGACGAGAGTTTCATGTTAATGTCTGTCAATGTCAAAATAGTAACTCTAGTTGATGTCAAGATAGCCATTTTATAAGAGCATTATCATTGTAGCTGTAGACAATTTTCAAAAAGCTCAATGCAGAATTTCATTTATAAAAAGCAAAAAAAAAAGAAAATCTGCATTTTTTAATTAAAAAGGATTTACAGTCTTTGAAAGAAAATAATCAGATACAGTACATGTAGGTTTAATTGTGATTAAAATTCACATGAACTGTAAGCAGTAGCGATAATACAATTTGTAGTTGTATACATGAGGTATGCAGTTGGAAATCCTCAGCTGTTACCAAGACTACATTGTGCATGCTATTTATTGAACAGACTGTACAATATACAAAACTTTTTTGCACATCCTATGGCTAAAGTCATAACAAGTAGCAATATGTGAATACAATTATTACATTGGCATTCTGGATTATTGTCTTACTAATGTTAATCCACACAATGTACAAAATGAGAACATCATAAAATATACACCGTTCCCTCGTAGCCTTATTACGCAAAAGTGAAATCAAAAACAATATTCTTTTTAGTCCCCGTTCGGACGAAGTCCGAAAACGGGGACTTATAATTTGGTCTCCGTTCGTCCATGTGTCCGTGCGTCCGTCCGGAGTCATATCTCAGAATCCCTTGGACCGATTCCGTTCATTCTTTGCATGTGCCTAGTACTTTATGTGGGACATATGCACATGCAGTGGTTTAGCGATTCGATTCAAAATGGCTGACTGGCAGCCATCTTGTTTTTGAAAATGTTGTATTTTACATGCTTTGTCAGTTTTCATTCAAACTTGGTACATAGATTATACATGTTAGGATACATGTCCATGATTATTTATTTCACAATTGGATCAAAGATGGCCGACTCTCAGCCATCTTGTTTTTTGAAAATGTTGTATTTTGGACATGCTTTGTCAGTTGTCATTCAAACTTGGTACATGGATTATACATGTTAGGATACATGTCCATGACGATTTATTTCGCAATTGGATCAAAGATGGTCGACTAGCAGGCATCTTGTTTTTGTTTTTTTATGCGGTATCAGTTTTCATTCAAATTTGGCACATACATGTACTTTATACATGTTAGGATGCATGTCCATGACAATTTGTTTCAAAATCTGGTCAAGGATGGCCGATTGACAGCCATCTGACTTTTTGGCCTTACTACTATATTTTCACAATTTATGTACCATTTTCATTCGTATTTGGCACATACATCATACATATCAGTGTGTTTCATAATCAGATCAAAGATGGCTGAATAACGGCTGTTGTTATTTTGGCCATATTACTATGACACGAAACACATGTTTTGATGTAAATAAACAATCTGTTGTATACGCCACTTGGAACTCAAGTTTCAAGGACACGCTCGTGACAACCCCTCCGCTTTAATATGACGAGGACAAAGAGAACTTAACGGGGACTGTGTCATTTTCAATGACTTGTTAAATTATGTATTTTTGTATACACCAGGTTTAAATTGTTTTAGATTAAAACACAACATTTTTTTTCAGCACCAAAATTTGCAACGAAAGACTACACAGTTGTATCAATATCAAACAATGTGTTTATAGTGCAAATCCATGCCATCCTGTACTGCCTGAAATCATACTTTTTAATTTATTCATAGATGAAAACCTAAAATGATAGCAGAAAATGTTTCACAAGAATGTCTGTTTGAGTTTTTGCATTAAGTAACAAGATGTTTCCGTCATATGCTACATATACTGTGCAGTTTGTGTCTACCTTTACTCAGTTCAGATTTATATCCAAAAGTTTTGTCTTTTTTTAGCATCATTATCTACTTATTCTTTGTAGTATTTGCACAAGGTTATAATATGCAACATATTCAGAAAAAGATTACTTCGCACAATTTTATATATCTAGTGGTTCTGAAAACAAGCTACAAAATTTACGCTAAAAGTTACACTAAGAATGGACTAACTGTATATTGTTGCTGCAGCTATAAGTGTCAGGAAATAGTGTTTGTATGCAATAGTATGAAACACATGAATTTTAATGATTTGTTGTAGCTTACCTCTAATAAGTGAAATATCAAATGTTGAAACAATTAGGAGAACAAATATTATGTGCACTAAATTGTATTATTTTTGGAGTCTAACATATAATAACGTACACTGTTGTGGTTAAACTTGGCACTTGATGTCTTACATTTCTTCTCTAATCACTTTAATGTGTATCAATGATTTTTGAAATCTAGATTTATTTCAACATACCTTATATTGGTACATGAACCAATTTAATTGAAAGAGTCACCTACATATACAAGTATGTATATCTTACTGATACTGTTAATATTTTTATGCATGATGGAAGTTTTGGATAGACGAGTGTAATCGCTAGCGTACATATTCATGCCCCCATAGAAATGTATTTGGAATCACAGCTTGATCTCTAAACATTGTAAATGCCACATTTCCTGGAGCTCCCACCACAATGTGAGCGGCTTGGTTCGGATTAGCATACTTCCAGTAATTTCGATGGCCATCTTGCCTCTATTTATAGTATCGGTTCCCCTTTAAGCTGTCTCTGTAAGAACCTAATTGGCTTGGTCACTATCCTGTCGATATTACATTCAGCCAAGTCACATTCATTAGTTAATTAATCTTAGGACATGACATAATTGTAATACTATTTGTAATATTGCAGTACAAGCTGATAAGTAGGTTGTCCTGACTGAGTAAGCTTCTCATTAAGCCAAAACCGCTAGCTAATTGTCTATGTTTATGTCTGGTCTACAGCTGCCAGTGTTGTTGCAATCATGAAAAGTGGGTAGTTCATTCACACTAGTGTTGAGGCAAATGTTTGTCCTCCCAAATAAACAGGGTTAGAGAGGTGTATGTGTTCATGGTATGTATGATCCAAGGTTTTATAAGATAAGAGAATACAATCGATGTGATATATGTGTTGATGACTCCAATTTGAGATTATGCCAATGATCAGAAACATTCAAGAACATAGATTTAAAAAATACTACTGCCAATGAATTTGGGAGAGTGTTTGTTAGTGTTTGTGTTTTTGTTACCATCCTTTGAATCATCTTGATGTTTTTTACCTTTTTGAATACAACGATCCTCACTCAAATTCGTTTACATTTTCCAAGTAGCCACTATGCTCTGTAATATTGTGACATTGTTTAACCATTTCACCACCAGTTTTTATCACTAAAAATTCACAAAATAGTCCTTTTCATAGTCTGCAATTTCAGAAAATTGGGACAAAAATAGAAACTGGAAAAACTAAAATTTTGTCTGTTTGCTCCAAAATTAGGGTTCACTTCCAGAAATATTGATGAATATAAAAAAGTGCAGACAAATTTGGAAGAAAATGTCTAATGGTGAACAGGTTAAAAATGTTGATGCACGAATATATGGAACTTAAATGGACACAGCAATTTGCATATAGATATCTAATTTGCATACACTTAACTTATAAATCTTTGGCTTGACATGCGTCAAGTTGTGCCCTCATTGTTAGAATGTAGATGCATATCACAAGTTTTGTGCGGTTATGCCGACAAATTCAAGTAAATGTACTTGATACTCATTGGTTCTCTTTATTTAAAGAAAATCAATGAAAACAAAAAGAGAACGACTGATTTGAAGCTGAGAAACCCCTCATGGTCCAGACCAAAGAGGGCGCTCTTATATTTGTCAATCTAGAAACTGCACCACATCACAGCCATGCTATGCTATGCTATGCTGTGATCCTAAGTTTTATCAAAGCCAAGCAGACTTGTCAGTTAAAACACAATACAGATAGATCATAATTGACCTGCCATGGAATGCTTCTAGTTCTAGTTCCAAATAAAATTTCGTTTCTGTTTAATGTACGTAACTGTGTAAACTCAACATAAATCTGGTTAATTCATTTTCTCAAATTCTCTCATAGTTGACTGAATTTTCTTTGATTGTTTCCAGGTCATGTCGGTGTATATTATCGGGTATGTATTTATCTTCAATGAAGTTATGACCTAAGTTCCTCTCATCAGATTGGTTACTATGAATTACATTTCTAACAAATTATTTAGAAACGAAGGCGCCAGTGTAATTGATTTAAATACGAAATCTGATCTGAAGATGTCTGGAACAACTGAATTTACTGGAACAACGTATTTTAGCTTCTATAAAACTGTGTTGTTTTTTGTTTTTTTAATATAACAATCACACATCCTCCGGAGAAGATAAAAATTGTTACATTAATTTGCAATTTGTGATTATATAACTACTCAGCATTACGGTGATAAATTTGGGTCAACTTTAGATTTTTTGACTTGAATATTTTTTCCTCTTGTCAACCAATTAGGGTGGAGCATTGCTAAGCCAAACTAGTGGTCCTGGTTATCATATAATGATACCTTTTTTAACATCTTTTAGGACAGTTCAGGTGAGTGAAAAACACATTTATTTTCTAATTATTTCACTGTGAGTTATCACGGTAAAAATTGTAAAATTTTGTAGCATGAACTGAATATTTCGCTGGGAACCTAAAATGCAATATGTCAGCGACTTGTGCAAAATTTTTTTTGAGTTTTATATATACCGCTAGATATGTAATTATTATGCAAATATTATTTATATTATCTGGCACATTTGTATGTAAATAGTTATTCACTGTGTTAAAATAAGGTAAATTAAATTTATGTGAACATATAAAATAACAGTAGAACTCATTGTCCCCTGCCAAATGCCTAAAATTAAAACCCAGTAATTGTATGTTTACTGAAAACTGGAAATAGTGAAATTAAATGCCAGTGAAAATAAATTTACAACACGTTTTACATACCTATATATACAAATATTAAATGTTCAATTTCATGATATTTGAATACATGCAAGTATGTTGTATGCAAATATGGTTTGTAAGGTGAGGCTATCAATCAATATCGCTATCGGTAACGGTGTACATGTATGTAGTTATATAGTCGTAGCTAAAAGCAAAGACAGATAAAGGAAAATTGAGATGCTATCGTCTCGCCAACAACATTACGAATATCCTGTGAAATTCGCAGGTTATTTGCTTTACTGAATGTGTTGAAAAAAAAAGTGTTTTCAATAGTAAGAATAGTTTTAAAAAGCACATTAGTGAAATTGGTTGTCAGAAAACCCCTTAGATAAACATCTCTTAGGTTTTCATGATTATATGTTATAATACATTGTATGTAGCATGCCGCATGTCAAAACTGCCTAACTAGAACACCCAAAATGTCTTTTCAGCAAAAATTAATTCCAGCTAAAATAAAGTATTTTACAGTACACAGAATTGCAAGTGTACACACATAATGTCAATATTGCCTTCAGCTATACTTATGATTGAGTCATGGAACTAATCTCATTCTTGATATCAATCTCTACAGTGTTCACTGTTGAGTTTATTTGCATCACAATACAATCAAACATGAGGGAAACAGGAATTAGGTTGTACATTTACCATCGTCAAATTTGTGGGATTTAGTCACAAACTTCTTTATACAGGCAGCATTGCGATTGTTGTGATTAGCAAAATGACATGTGAAACTGTTTTATTCATTTTGTATTCACTGCAACAAATGTAATGCTTCTAGCCATCTCATACTTGTATATGCCTTTGTGAAAATTGATTTTTATCACCTTTGTGCTTGTGAGCAAAAAACAAAATTTTCAAAAAAAATGATTTTCACACAAACTTTGATGAATTTTAGATAAGAACATAAATTTTGTTCTGAATCAGTGGTTTGATAAGTTATTTATTAGAGACAGAACCCAATTTTGCGATGTAAATCACTCTACCTAGAAAGAGCATTTCATATTTCACACCTTTGATACATCAAGTATACATGTTTCAATGTCATTTGTTATACACTTATTAGCTTGGTGTGTGGAAAGCTGTCATCAATCATGTGTTTGTTTCCCATCTCTCATCAACTATATTGAAAGAAGTCAGTTTGGCTTCTTTATAAATAATATATGGTATTGCATAGCAAATTTCAACAGCATTTCTGTTTTGCCAAGACTTGTTTGCTCATAAACAAGTTTTTGGTTTAAATCCTTGCATATTAAATACCTAATTTGCATGATAATTTGCAAATCTTTAGCTGTTTTATGATTGTTGCACTGATATCTAAAGAACCACTAATTGGATTTTGATGAAACTTGGTATATATATATGCTCTAGGACAATGTACACCCCTGATTAGTTTTAGGTAAAAATCTGTGCATACTAACTTTATAATTTGCATAATGATACTCAGCCAATTTTCGGCTTCCCACTATTATATCAAGTACTGATCATCACATTACAATGCAACTTAGTACATAGTTTAATAGCCTTCGTAATGTTGTTTGAACTCACTATATAGAGTCTAATTTTGCATAATTAGTAAATGTTGGGCTTTTCTTTTCTTTATAAATAATATATGGTCTTGCAAAGCAAATTTCAACAGCATTTTAGTTTTGCTAAGACTTGTTTTCTCTGTATAAATGTGATTATAAATGGTATTATTGAGAAACATTTTAACTGTTTGTTTACTAGGTAAATGACATTCAGTTACATGATCTCATTAACGTATATGTAACTATTTGAATTGCAAACATGTAATTTTATTTGCTTCTATGCATGCATACATGTACATCTGTTTATGTGTTCATTATCACCAGTATCTTGGACATGTCAACAGCATTCAAACTTGACCTTAACGTCTAATTTACAATCCAATACAAGATAGCTGAATGCTTAAAAATCATCAAAATCAAGCATTTCTGTCTTTTCTCATGAACTCAGTACATATATTGAATAAAATAAGACCACAATGGCTGACTTGAATTAATTTTGTTTTGTTTCTGAGTAATCATGTCACACATACACACATGTATTAATTTTACGATCAGATGGTGGCCATTTTAAAAAATCAAGCTTTTAATTCTGCCACTCGATCTGAATCTTGGTTATAAATGTGAATAGCTATTGTTTAAACTTTGTTGAATTGTATTTTATAATGAATGCTGTTTTAGAATCATGCCTTGACTGGTAGTACATTCAAAATTCTGATTCTGATTCAAAATTGACCATTTCAGTGTTGTTTACTAAGAACTGGAACTCTGTCATGACGTGTTTAATATATACTTCACTGTTTGGTAAGACATGATTTAACATGGCAATGTATGACCTACTTTCTGAATAATTCATACAAATTGAGTTTCATTATTTCTTGACAGATCTTTGCATCCCTTGGCACATATAAGTTCTTTCTTTGCTTTCTTTGATTCAATCTTGTTAGGGGATTTGCTAATATTATTACATGCTTTAGCTTTCAGGGGATTGCTGGATTTTTTGATAATCAAGTCTTTGTATATTCTATGTGTCTCCATCACTGCTGGGACCCAGACCAGTTTTAGTCTCGCCACACATTCCAAGCAATGTTATGGGTTAACACAATCCTTGAATTTCACATAAATTCCACATAAATTGTTTTAAGCATAGGAACCTCAGGGTATTTTGCCAGTGAAGTGTAGATTAAATGTTGCTGTGGAGTTTATTCAATTATTGGATTTTGTATCGATGTATCGTATTTGCTCTACACGTATCACATGCATTTGTAAATTTACAGAGGTATTTCTATGGTCAAAATAATTAATATTTTTATGATTTAGTAAATAACAAATGTGATTGTTAGTTTGTATGCGCTTCTACAAGAGATGTGCTCTAAATGGAGAAAATATGGTATGAAATCAAATAATAATATCATAGTCCAATACACATTGAGTGTGTATGTGTATATTCTTATGTACAATTACCCATATTTTGACAGTGTCCTGACTAATTATCTCTGCAAAAATACAACAAATTTATTGGGCATAATAAGTTCCTAAATTTATATCAATTTTACCATGTTGTATTTGATTGAAACCAAATGATTCTCACAAAGTACCCGACTGGAGTTGTTAAAATAGGAGGAATATAATAAAAATAAATAATAAAAAAATGAAATTTGTTCATTTCAGTCAACTATAACACAGCAATAATCTGGTGAAATTTCAAACAATACGTGTATAATCAGTTGACTTAAAGCGGTGGAGTCGTCACCTACGCATGCGTCAGGTGGCAATAGCGTGTCATTGTTTACAAACAAGTGTCTACCCACGAGCCTTTGCATTTTTAGCGTGTGTTATTATCACTTGGGACTCAATTCCTGCGTGTGACAACCCTCTCGCTTTAAGATTATTTGCAGGTATTAGAGTAAAATATTCAGATTTCTATGAATTTTTTAAACTATGGTTTATTTTACTCATTTGTTTAAAAACCAAGAAACAGCGATGTTTAAATCATTTAATATTGGTTCCCATGAGGAAAAGAGTACGTCATAACTGATATATTGTTCGATACCATATAGTGAAAAAATAGTAACAGTTATATAAATATAAGATGGATAATTCTGATTGTCACGAATTATTAGAAAATTCTGGAGAATACTATTTTTTTTTTACCTAACAAATTTCTTAATATGGACTCATACTGTATGGAAATTGTTTTAAAAACCATTATTTGTATCGAGTTAAAAAATCTAAAAGGCATAAATCTAAATCTGTAATTAAGTAGCACTTCTGAAAAGAATATTGTGATAACATTTTCACCGTAATGCAAATGCATTTGATTATTGAGTTCACTTGTTTTGCATGTTATGTACAGAGAAACGTAGTGGAGTCATTTTTATTCACTGATATGTTTTTATTCTAGACGACTCTTCAAACTGACGAAGTAAAGAATGTCCCATGTGGTACCAGGTAATGCCAAATCGTATTTATTACTTCTATTACAAAGTTAAATTGAATTTTCAAGCCTCCACTCACTGCCTTGAGTGTGTTGTAAAAAACAGCTCCTGTTCAAACATATAAAATATATAAGTGCTAGGAATCCCAAAGACTTCTTAGACTGACGACAAAATATAGCCATACATATTCTCATTTGCCCAAGTGATTGTCATGTTTTCGAATGATGTCTGTTTCTCTTGGTGTGATTGATTAGGCTAATGCTCATTAGCGACAATATCTCATTAGGCTTTATATTTGTTGTTGCCTGGAAACTCACATTCACTGGTAAAATTAAAAGTGTCATTAGCTTATTGCTTGCATATTACGTATGTTACTAAGTTGACATGATTCCATAGGGCAGTGTGAGGAACACTGATGTTTGTAGAAAACATCTGTACACTAACACCTCATAAATAGGGTTTACTTTATTCCATGTTTAGTTTAGTCTGGTTTCACTGATTTGGCTTTGGCACCAATTCACACAATTAACAATTACAACAAGTACAATTAACCTATTCACCACCAGTTCTCTCTTTTCATCACAAAATAGTCTTGTTACCTAATTTTGCATAATAGTCTGCACTTTCCTTCAGAAGATTGGGACAAAAATAGCCAAATTGAAATTAATTAAATTAAATTACAAACTGAAAATTGACTCAAATTTTGTCTGTTGGTTCCAAAAATGCCTTTAAAAAATTTTGTGAGAAAGTCTGATGGTGAAAAGTTTAATGACTTTAATACAATGACTTTAATACAATGACTTTAATACAATGACTTTAATACAATGACTTTAATACAATGACTTTATCTTGTGAATTGTCTTATATTTGACCATGCATATTTAATTGTTGTGTTTTTGTTTAGTGGTGGTGTTATGATTTATTTTGATAGAATAGAAGTGGTCAACATGCTTTCTGTTAACTCTGGTAAGTATAGACTTGCTGGATTTTCATTGTTCACTGTTTTTTTGTGTGATAGTATTCTCTGTCTGTGTAATAAATCTTAATCGAATGGTAACATCTCTACATATTAGTTATAGGGATTTTTTTTACAAATGTCACGCGTATATCAACATTATACTGACAACCAGGAAGAATGTTGCCCCTCTCGTCCCATGTTGACACCCCTCTGACATAGTTTAGATTTTTCAAAATGCCACATGATGGCGCTCTTTCCTTGTTTCTACATCTTTCAGAAAAGCTGGTGTGTCATTGACCTTTGTGTTAAAACATTTTTTTGTTTATAGTTTTTGAAACTGTAAAGAATTACACTGCTGATTATGATAAGACGCTGATATTTAATAAAGTTCATCATGAACTTAACCAGTTTTGCAGTGTCCATAACTTACAACAGGTGTACATCGAAAAGTTTGGTGAGTTCCTATCAATTATCAAGTGTTTCCGCCGGTGACTCCTTTGATACCTTCCAATCACCTAAAAAATACCTAATTAATGCTTGGTAACGTCTCAGTTTGTACTCGTTGATCTGCACAACAGTTAAAGTCGCCACCTTTGTTTATATGAGACCCATATATCTTGCTCATGTGTGGTGCGACGACTATCGCCCTTTAATGGAAAATGTGAGAATTTGTGATTTTGTTTACTCTTGTAGACCAGATTGATGAAAACCTGAAGACAGCCTTACAGATTGACCTCACCAATATGGCACCTGGCCTCACTATACAGGTGACTAATTTTCCAGACTTGTTGATTTCAAAGTGCTTAGTGGATGAGATTATCACTATCACAAATTATGTAATAAAATAATAAATCAATTAATTCTTGGTATCTATATCCATAACAACAAAAGTATTTAACATTATAACATACTTCCCTTTTTTAGGCTGTGCGTGTAACCAAACCAAAGATTCCGGAACAAATCCGTAAGAATTATGAGGCAATGTAAGTTTGCTTTAAATTTTCATCTCATTTTATCATTTTATTTTAAATTTTTTTCTCTAAGTGGAACTAAAAACTGATTTAAGTTTCATAAGAGAATGTGACTGAGGCATTATGGGATTAACAAAATATCATACTTGACCAACACAGTGACCTCTACTAAGAAAAGAGGCGAGGTCTCAGTTGAGCTGCATCATCATTGAATGTCTTTATGAGGTATTTCTTTAACAGGAATTTCTATGGAAATAGTTCCAAAACAGCCCATTTTTGCATATATTCAAAACACTTTTTCTCCAAAACTTTATTAAAAAGCTGAAACGTGGTTTACTTTTTGTCTATTTATACAAAAAATGTATATCATTTGTGTATCTTTTCAACACAGTTGTGTATCTTGTTGGCATGTCACAAATAGTGCCCTCATTGTTTTATGGATACTCTTGTTTTTATTTTTGTCCTTTGATAAAGTTTGCCACATAACATCTGCCCTCTATGGTAGTGGATGCTCATACTTTGTTTTTATTGCGACATTGACAGGGAAGCTGAAAAGACGAAACTTTTGATTGCTGAACAAAGGCAAAGAGTAGTGGAAAAAGAGGCGGAGACAGAAAGAAAGAAAGCCATTATTGAAGCTCAAAAGAATGCTGAAGTAGCAAAAATTAACTTTGAACAAAAAATCATGGAAAAAGAGAGTCAACAGAAAATATCAGAAATTGAAGGCAAGTAACTGTTTAATGTTTAATTTTATTTTTTCAATGTTTACAACATTTTTAATGATGTATGTAATTAGTTTTATTCAATGAATTTGTTGACAGATCTTACACATCTAGCTCATGAGAAAGCCACAGCAGATGCTACGTTCTATGCAGCGGAAAGAGAGACTCAATCTAATAAGGTATGTAAATTGCTGTTAATTGGCACCAGATGAATCTTATACTGTACTCAGTTTATTCAATCTCCCACTTTCCCTTCACTCCATTTCTACTCCTCTTTGTGATTGTTTCTCGAAAATTAACTGGAGAATTGGTGATTGATTTCTGAGCACACAAAGCTTGAAGCTTTAAACTAAGACCACTAAGAAATTGGTTTATGATATATGATTTATAGTTGCATCTTTCTGAATTTGAGGATAGTGAATAACACCGTCTTTAGTTTCAGCATTTGTTTGGTGATCCAATTCAGGATGGCCAAATGGTGGCCATTTTAATTTTAAAAGTTCATCAAAATCGAACATTTCTAGACCAGATCTTTGTCGTCCATGACAGATTCCCTTAAAATTTGGTATGTTCATTAAACATTGTAAGTAGAACATTAGTGGGGGTCATTTTGTTTTTCAGATCAGATTCAAAATGTCTGACTGGCAGGTAGCTTATGTATTGAATGCTACTCCGGAGACCTATTTCTGACATGCTCTTACCATCCATCAATTTATTTCGTAAACTTGTTAACACACAGAAATTATGTAATGCAATTATTTAAATATTTTTATGATTTTTGGCTCAACGGACAAAGGTGTTGGGCAGTTTCCAGATATATTTAGTTTTTGGTGGAAATATCAGCTAGTGAAATTCAAGCTATTTGGGTGCTATTTCAACATATTTCAACAAAACTTGGTATATACATGTATTACAAATTCATGTTATTATCTCAACATGCTGGAGTTCTTTTTAAGCTCCCTTTGATTCTAATTTTATTGAATATTTCTGTTATTTTTGTAAAAAATTCCACTTTTAGCATTATGTTTTATTGTCTCACTCACTGCCTTTTGGGGTATTTGTCATATACAGCACTAATCTTTTGTACAACAAACCATTGGCCTATTTTTCATTGCTAAACTTGAGTTGTTGTGACACATGGTCACCTTGAAATCGATGCATGGGATCATTATCCATTTCTAACCTGAAAATGTAAAAATTAAATTAAATAAAAATAACCATTTTTACAAATCACTGACTTTAATTTTTTCAAACACATAAAACAGCCAAGTTTTTTGACATTTGTTGGTGACTTCAGTGCTAAAATGTAGGTGGATCCTCTTGCAGGGGAGTGACCCAGCTAGGTCATGTTCTGACAAGCTGACTTTCAGCCAATCACCTGACATAAATCAAAGCTGTCACTCACTTTCAGCCAATCACCTGACATAAATCAAAGGTGTCACTCACTTTCAGCCAATCACCTGACATAAATCAAAGCTGTCACTCACTTTCAGCCAATCACCTGACATA